AAACACCCCTATACTCAGAAACCAGTGGCAAATCAGTCCTTAGAATAACTAAAGCCGCGTCAAATAAAATTGAAAAATTACAGGATTAATCCTCAAATAAACATTAGGACAATAGTTAAACCCCAAGAGTATCTTAATGGGAGACATTGTCATGTATACAAAAATAATACTAAATATTTGTCATCAAATTGAGCAAGTGGCTCAATCTGAAGAAATAATCTTAGAAGAAATAAAAGAAAATTGCCTAGTTGAGTTAAGACAAGAGAATGGAAGGATAAACTCCATAATATTATTATATAATAAGCAGATTAGATTCAAAGAACAAAGAATTAATAAATTAAGAGAAATAGTTGATTTACTAAAATCAACATAAATAATGAATAGATAAACTGGATTAACATATATTTACTCAATACAGTAGGTAAAAACATAATCTACATTGAAGATATAATTATCATTAATAAGATTCTAGAAATAGAAACTATCAGTAAAAATATTTTAAGAAAAATAAAAAAAATGAGAAATCCCTTTCACAAGAATTTGAGTCTATCAAAGATAAGACAAATGAAATTAAAAATTCTAAAGATTTGAAAGAAATAAAAGAAGAAATAAAGTTTATTAAAGATTCAAAGACTCTAACATTTCAAGTTAGAGATATAGAAAGGCACTCACTGAAAAATGTACCAAAAAAGCTTAAAGATAGATAATAGAATAATCTCACAACTGAAAAGTGATATAGATAAAAATTTCTATAAAATCCAAACTTAGTTTAAGGACCTACAAGATACTATAATATTAGTCTGTAGTAGACGAAATATTGCAAAAAGAAACGAATGATTTAAAATAATCCCAAAATTTTTACAGAAAACCTAAATTAAATGGAATAACACTATTCATGTTAAAAACAAAAGAAGAAAAATTGAAAGAATTGAGACAAAGATTCTTAGAGGAAGAAAATGTAGAAGAATTAGACAATCTATGTAGACAGATTATTATAACTGCTAAACAAGTAGAAAATATAAAAATGAATACTCAAAGAAGGAAAGGAAGAAATTGAAGAAGAAAGTGAAGAAGAAAAGGGACAACCTAACATAACTCCAATAGAATAGCCAATACAACAAGGGGTAGAATCTAGTACTAGTCAAAGTTACAAAAGAAATTGAAACCAAATACATGAAATAGTATATGACAAAAGGAAATTTGGAAATGAATCTAGACTTGAAACCTCAGGTAGAGTCAAAGAAAAAATTATCAATATCAATGGCATTTGACTAGATCTGGACTGTGTTACCAACCTAGAAAAAGTCATTAGTGAATGGGCTCAAGCTATTTAGATAGCCATAGCAAACAAAAACTAGAATGCTTTATAAGCAATTAGATTTATTGAGGTCACCTTTACAGAGATAGTTCATGACTAGTTTGCTAGTCTAAATGTAGAAGAAAGTAATGCCATTATAAGTGGAAATCTTGCTTCTAAAAAAGTAAATGAAAATGAAGCAATCCTAGACATAATAACTAGATTCAAATCAGCTATAAGAAGAGAATTTTTAGGAGAAAATTGGGAAGAAAATCAAGAAAAGGAAGAAGCTAGAATTGGAAGAATAGTAGTATGGAATCTGCAGAATTTAGAATTATGTAATCTCTGCAAACTAGACCAATACATTTGTTTATTCCAAAAATACCATTATAAAGCCTCAAAACATGAAATAGCTAAAGGTCTAAGAGAATTATTTTTCATAAAAATCCCTAATCCTTGGAGAATAAAATTAGCATAAACCTATAAAACCTATGTAGAAAATAAAACTAAGATGTTAGGCCCAAGAATTTGGTTTGCAAAAACCAAACTAAATAAGTGGTGTATAGAAACTTATAACAAATTAAGAAAAAATATGAAAGAGATTATGTCCCAAAATCAAACTATGATGTAGTTATTCAAACTATAGGAAGAAAAACAATAGATTTAGAGTTAAAAAAAGTAATAAACAAAGGTTTATTAAGAATAAATTTTCTAAAACAAAAAAGAGATATTTCAAGAAATCAAAAGCAATAAGAAAATATAAAAAAAATCTTAAGAAATACACATGTTGATTATATAAAGAGAAAGGACACCATACAAATGAATGTTCTAAAAAATATAAAAAAGAAAGTACTAAGAATTTGAAAATATATGAAGAAGAGTTAAACAAAATAGAGACTAGCTCTATAACGCGACCCGTGTCTTGGCAGTTAATGAAAACATGATGAATAGCAAATTACACTATTTTAAGTTATTGGATTACTTTGACATATTTTTTGAAAATTTTTTAACATAAGTATGCTACAATGAATCTTTTACCTATGCTTTTGACAAGTAACAAGCAAACTGAAGTATTGGTCCCTAAACTTCCTCTACCTAAACCAAGTGCAAATTATGAGATTTGGCATTAACTTCACTAGAATTCCAAGTATGTATCATATGCTATATTCTATATTATTAAATAAAATAATTAATGCGAGATTATAATTTTTTAAAAATTATTTTGCAAGGTAGGATGGGAAAAGGTTCAACGTGGAGGCTATGATTATTGGTTTCAAGTTGATAAATGGTGGTTTTATTGGCTTGTAATGAGTGCTCACATAAATTATCATTCCATGAAAATAGTGGTTGCAAAAGATGTGGATTACCATGATCCATTGTTGTTATAAATCTGGGTTTAAGATATTAATTGATAACAGTGATATTTTAGAAAGTCCAGAACCAAATTATACCAAAAGTATTGTACATAGAGAAGTATTTGAATGTTTGAAGTATGGTTATTGGTAAACCAAAATATTTATATTTGATCAATTATATCCTTGACAATTCACATTGCTAAAAATTTGTGAAGAAAAGTTTTGTTTTTCTCCATTTGGGTTGCATTTGGATTAGGAGAGGGAAAAATATTGAATATTGCTAAATTGAATTTATGAGGCACTTTGAAGGGTTTTTTTTTTTTTTAATAACTTATAGAGTTTTTTTAATATCATCTGTTGTGTAATAATTTAGTAAAAAAAAGTACAATATGTATTGTATTTATAATTCTTTATTAACACAAAATATTAAATAATTAAAAAACCTAAATTATAAAAATACTAGTAAACTACACGAAGCGCTGCTTGAATTCTAGAGAGTTTCATTGATATTAATTAGTGCATGAACCTAATGTTCTTTTTTACAAAGAGAGTTAATTTAGAGATATTTAGTGTAATGTTTTATTGAGTGAAGTCAAAATAGTTCAAATTTAACATATTCAATAAAAGTTAAATTTTTTTTTCCCTACTTATTTCTTTTGGGACAAATGGAGTAATGTACTCCCTACATCCCTAATTT